ACTTGTTCTAAGTGAGGACACATGTTTGAATGGGGACGGGACGGGAGGGAACGAATCAATTTCTGATACAGTGTGTTGTCCCATGTACGATCGAGGAACGGACTGGTTCCAAACGATTTTCTATTCGAAACTCATCAGTTACGTGATTGATCACAGCTAGACATAATTAGGACAATGTGGTGGACCGGTCTGATTAATTGTTAATCGTACAGAACAGTTGTAACAAACTATTCAGGTAAATCACGCGAGAATTTGGAACCGAAATGGAGACTGTATATGGAGACAACAAGAAAAAAAAGAAGCTGTTGTGTTACTTCCCGGCCCACGCATGCACGCACGCGCGCGCGCGCACGAGTATGCAACGCAAACCGACTTGGGACAGGAGATCTCAGTGGTAACGAAAGCTTTACCTCAACAGGATTCATAAAATATGTATCACTTTGTCATTAATCTCTTGGGCAAAACATCCAAACACACTCGTTCGCTGTCACACATAAACGGGGCGATTTTGTTAGATTTGTGTGAAAAAAGCATGCTACCGTATGACACTTTGATTCAAGCAAACGATAGAGATGAAGATCGTGAGAAAGCAAACAAGTGGAATACTAGGCATCCACAAAACTATATTCTCATTCAGTTCTCAGGATTCCCTTAAATAAAAGAATCACTCAGCTTTATTGTGCTAATATTCTCACTTGTATCGCAGAAGACAGTTATTAAATGCATGTTCTGGGATGCTGATTTACAAAGGGAACATAGTGTAGTAGGAGTAGTATACGCCATAATGAAATCATAAGAGATTTGTTCACCGTTTGCGTTAACTGTTTTGTCTCTCAGGTTGTGTGTTTGATCCCCGACACCATTGCTACGATATAACTTCTGCCGTTGCCAAAACCCCTTTGTGAATATTCAGTTTACAGTCGTTCTCTTTTTGGAAGTAAATTGAAGTAAAAATTCAAACGCGATGGAAGTGTTTATGATAACCGACACAAAGCACTGGACAGCTGTTTCGTCCTGTTTCGGACTCGAAAGCAGTCCGTACTTTTTGTGTCCCTGTCTGGACTCGAATCGCGAACATTCGGGTCGGGATTTCAAAACCTTAAACCCAGGGCTACACGGTTGACGATCTTCACCTTGTGCTAATAGGCCCTCTTGAGTGCCTAGTGTCTCTGAATAATCGAATGGGCTAATCCAAGCTTGATACTCTAAACTGAAGTAAAAAACAGTCATAATGTTAGGTTCTATACAACAGTTAACAAAAAACACCTATCACATTGTTGACCGATCAGTGGTTCACAAATCATTCGTTTTCATCTCATGTTTGTCCTGATTGGAATGAATTTGACTTTGTAGATTGAAAATTTAATTCAACCCTCACACATCGCGAGGTGCGACTCCGTCGTTTGGGTCTTTCTTTTAAAGTTTTCTCGGCACTTCCATACGTGATCGTTGGTATTCGGGCTCCGTAATAAGAGTGAGGAATTGAACATGTGACTTGATGTGTTGGTGACAACTGACGAATATAGTTTATGGTTGGTTCTATTTATTTGGTTTCGGCTAATTCCCATGAACCAGTTAGGATTTCCTGTCCGAAACTGGGATAGCCTTCGCTCTGAAATAAGAATTGCACATCACCATGTGTCGATTTCACAGCAAAAGTGATTCCTTTAGCTTTTGGTCATATTTTTCAGCCTTCACCCATTGTCTTCGTCCTTGACTTATGTCCTGTGTACCGATTAGCACAACAACTGCATTGTACATGTATCCCATCACAGTCAAAGTTTTATTATGGGACTTACTTACAAACTCGTGCTTCTCTTGTCTCCATAAGATATTTGCACAGTTGAATCGTTTCTCAGCAAAAAATGATAAAATGTCACATAGAGTTCCGTTTAGGAGATAGTGGACAATGTAGTATCCAACGAATTTGCGCTTTTTTTTAATTGCGTAGCAATGTAAGGTGTGTCAGGGTTTTGAGTTTTCGTTTGAATGTTTGAATAGTTGGTGCACAAACCATGTGAGATGGAAGGGTGTGATACATACTGCATACTCTAACTGCAAAAGGTGGACGCCGGCATTCCAGTCTACAGTTTGGAATCAGTAACTTGAAACGATCTTCCTTTAGGTGAATGTTCGCTGACAACTTGAGCCTTGGCCGACATGGAGGGTTTGGGTTCTGCAGTATTTGATTCGCCAAAATCAAGTCTCATAGAATTTGGCGGTACTGAGCAGAACATAGTCCAGCTGATCGTAATCTATTCTCATAGATGAGGTGGTTCAATCCATTGACCATCTTGATGGCAATCCTTTGTGAACTCTCCAACATCTTACGATCACGTCGCAACCATGGACTCTAATCTAGGTTGGCTTGCTCAGTGTACTGTTGAATGTACACTGAAAACAAACGGGGAAACAACACTGATTCACTTCTACAAAGACTCATCTAAGCAGGCCGATAGTATTTACTGCAGCAGACGAAACCCTAGCGCAATTGACCAAGTATCTTACGTCCATTTGAGCAATTATACCTAAGTACTTCTCACTTTAGGTATGTGGCAGCTGCTGATTTCCGAGGAAATACGCGAATCTACTCTTATGGTGTAGGGATAGGACTTTGCATCTAGAAACGTTGAATTTTAATGTTATTTTGCGTAGAACACTGGTAAGCTGCGTTAAGTTTTTCTTGAAGATTTTGCCAGCCATCGGATTCTCTCACTGTATGCCAGATTTTGGTGTCGTCTGCAAACAGGATAGTTTTTGGACCTAACACATTCGGTAGATCATTTATGATTGCAAGGAAAAGTCGGGGACCAAGTATATACCCGCGGTAACATTGATAGATACCTGATATGGTCCGTTGTCGGAGGAATGCTCTAATTCAATCAAGCACGAGATCTCGATTGTCGTAATTGTAGAGCTTCTTAACAAAATTAGGTGACTAACCCAATCAAATGCTTTCGAGAAGTCCAGATGAATCACATATACCGCACTCCCTTCGTCGACTGTTCTGATCCAGAATGGGGGTTCAGGATTGGGGTTTTGAAAGTAGCAGAATGACCTATCGAAGGTGGAAAGTGAAGCAGATAGCGCGGTGGCAAAGACCACAAAGAACGAAACAAATCAATGTGTATGGTTATCTTTTGTTGGCGCATGTGCATAAGCCCTGTGTAGGATCGAAATTCTGCGTGGGGTCTACTGTTTGAATGTTTAGTCAGTTCGAGTGATCAGAGAATAGCAGTGATTAACCATTTCATGGACTATATTTGTACCGAGGTCGGTTCATACCTTTTTGTCTTGCATTACAAATCTTAGTTCAATGGCTTGATCTAGTTAGAAAACCATTCCATGGTCGAGCGGTAAACGCCACCAAATTATCGCCCCAAAGGACTTGTGCTATAATCCTTCTACCACCATCACCACTGGCAATACCACCTCCTGAATTTAGCCATTCTCTGTGCTGTATAACACCCGTTCGAAATGTGAAGGTACAGAGCAATTCGACGTCACATTTCACTAAATGATTTGAAGCTATTTCCCGAAGTCATCGCGCTTGCCAATTATCACGGATCGGTTAATTCCGGTAGTCACGCTTTCCCTTGTGTGGTTTTGTCCCTCCAACAGTTCTTTGATTCATACTATACTGAGTGACAATCCAAGCGTTTGATTCCCTATCTTCACTTGTAGTTGGTTTAAAGGGGACTTGAAAAATTCATCGACCATAGAGCATAATACTTTGAAATTAGGTAACTCCACTCAGTTGGATAATTTTATGCAAAAACTAGATATGATTTTATGATTGGTCCCAGACACCACTTAGATAGCCTCCGTCTCACTCTCGTTGTATTATTATTAGTATTATTTTTATCATTGTACTATTTCTTTACCATCCTAGCCTGAGTTTTGATTTTTTTAATCAACTCCTCACTAAAGCCAACCAGCGATTCATAGGCTCACCTATCCGACCAATCGTGTCACAACCGCAAACAGACTCCAGCTGGTGCTTGCTTGCCATCGAAGTGTCAACAACTGTTGAGCAGGAACCCGAAGAAACAATACATTTCAGTTATAGTTCCACCCCCCCCCCTCTTATCGTCATTTCGTTCCCATTCATGGCACTCGCACGGGTGTGGACAGGCACACACACACAGCTATTCACTCAGTTTTCAAGTGAAACCTGTTTTGTTCCGCAGTCTTTGTCACTGAGCTGCTTGCGTTCCTGTTCAAAACACCCCTTTCTGATAGAATAAATGTAAACTCTGACTTTTGGGACGTTCCATTGTGTGAATCAGTAGACGCAACCATGATTGGAGGTGTAGAGTGAAAAACCAGTTTCGAATGCTAAAACACCTTGAGCAAAGGACAAATAACCACAGTAAACATTCCAATCTCGTTCCCGACAGTTATGTTTGTTTAACAAAGGGGACAATACACATTCTTCAGGAACTGCTTGTTGTTCCAAAAACAGATCGAATAGAGACTTTGCTTTCCCAGTACGACGCAGTATTCCCACTGAAATAACACCGAACCTTTCGCCATACCGGGCCAGTTGAATTAATCCAACGGTCATCTGGGGTTAAACACAAGTCGCGCTTAGGCAGTACACTTTCCGCTAATAACACTTTTCTATATTTGCAGTTGACAAACTTTGAATAATACTTTCTTGACCAAAATGATAACCGACCATCCGGTTTGGGAAAAGTGCTTGTGAAATGTGTTTTTTTTTGGCGGTTGACAAACGTTTCCCTCCAGTCTTCATCACTTGAAACTGATAATATAAATCCGAATGGATACGAATAGGCATAAAGATGGCCGTATACGGTTGATGAATGGCCAGATTGAGGAGCAAAGCTCGCTCTCCATTTCCAGTCTCCCGTTCAAAACTCCATTCCTATTCAGCCTCACGGACAGAAAGGATAGAGGTGATCAGTTGTCAAAAATATTTAACCATGATATGGGACCAATATCGGAACGTCGTTTGCGTGTGTACGAGTCCAGCTGTGATGGCGGGCAACGATAGTGACTCTATTGATAATTCAAGTGGTGGTCTTGCTGCCGCTGCTGCTACTGGTGGTGGTGATGTTTCCGGTCATTTGGGCGGCAATCCTAGAAAGGATGGTGATGGTGATGGTACAACTCTGGTGATGATGATAACTGTGGTGACGGCGGTGGGGGATGGGGTGGTGATGCTCTCAATCATTCTGACGCTGGTTTAGTCGGCATCAGTGATGATAGTGGTGACCAGGGTGAAGATGAGACGAATGGAAGTCAGACAATGTAAATATTCGTGAAATATCCCGGTGGCTAAATACGATCAGAGACAATGGCCCAAATCACTGATCATCACAAAACGAAAAACAGATAGCGTGCCGTG